GTCCTTGGCAGTCTCAGATAAATATATATATATATATATATAGATACATAAATATATAAGACTGGCTGCACTACTCGTGGCTGTGTTCACCCATTACGTGGAGGTTTATCCCATTTTGAAGTGTACGTGTCATCTGTAACGCTACACAGAGGTGTTGGGTATACCAAAATCTCGACAGAACTGTGGGTGTACTGATTTATGCGCGAGCTACAACTGTGGGTGTGCATGCTGCAAACTCATTCGCACAGACATGGATAGGGCAATTGAGCAACACCACACTTAAGCACATCCACCCCTATGGTAATAAGCACCTATTAAAACGGACCTATGTTATCAAACGAGCTATGTTAACCTATGTTATCATTCGAGTTATGTCAACCTATGTTATCATACGAGTTATGCTAACTTATGTTATCATACGAGTTATGTTAGCAGTATTTAGTTAGTGCTACACAAACGAACCCGACCCTCAGAACGCAGTTGGCCTTGGAAAATACCCAAGGCACTCGCATTGAATAAATGTGCACAAAGTGATAATACAATTACATACAGTATACATCTTGTGTGTATAGAAACATACAGCACACACCTTGTGCGTATAATTACATACAGCACACACCTTGTGCGTATAATTACATACAGCACACACCTTGTGCGAATAATTACATACAGCACACACCTTGTGTGTATAGTTACATACAGCACACACCTTGTGCGTATAATTACATACAGCACACACCTTGTGTGTATAGTTACATACAGCACACACATTGTGCGTATAATTACATACAGCACACACCTTGTGAGTTTCCACTTCGATGGTGGGGACCTTGGCGGCCCAGGTCTGCCACTCTCCACTCTCTAGGTTCACCTCAAAGTCAATTATGGACCGGTCCGAATTCGAGGGCATTTCTACAGTCGTTGACCGGCGGATGAACTCGCCCAGTGCGCGTCTGTGAGAATACACGAGAAAGGCACATGTCAAGTGTCAACCATTGGCACTCAGCACCCAGTGGCAGTGGAGAGGACAATACCTTATATGTCCGCAAGTGTCAGGTGTCAAGTGTCAGAGAGCACTAAGTGATCGACCACGGACTCGTCGAGGATACGGGAATGGTATGGGCTATGGGTGTGGTGGAAGCAGGATCATCACGCAACGCTAAACCCTAAAACCCTAAAAACTAAAACCCTAGGTAGTGTGCTATATGACAACAGAACACACACATACACAGACAGGTCAGCAACACATACCCACGGACTATCCTACTATAGGTAAACAACCCCAGAACGATAGACTACACGCAATAGCACCAAACATTAGGCAAAAACCCTAAACACCAACAAAGACAACCCCAACAACAACAAAGACAACCCAAACACCAACAAACACAAATCAACAACAACAAACACAAACCAAACAACAACAAACACAAACCAAACAACAACAAACACAAACCAAACACCCACAAAGACAACCAAACAACAACAAACACAAACCAAACACCCACAAAGACAACCGCCACCGAGTGGCCCCTACACTCACCGACTGTCGAGCGACGCACTGCCTGTGAAACTCCACACAATAGCGTAGATGAGATACTTGGTGATGTACTTCTCCATGGTCATCGTATCCATCGGCAGGTCTTCATTGCGCGTGTTGTACTTGAGCACGTTACGAATACTGTGCGTTAGAAGTATCAGGTAATAAGAAGTAAGCATGTGTGACAGAAGTAACAAGTATTAACACATAAGTATATGTGATAGAAGTAACAGATAATAAGAAGTAAGGATGTGTGATAGAAGTAACAAGTATTAACACATAAGCATGTGTGATAGAAGTAACAAGTATTAACACATAAGCATGTGTGATTGAAGTGACAGGTACTAACACATAAGCATGTATGATAGAAGTAACAGGTACTAACACATAAGCATGTGCGATAGAAGGAACAGGTACTAACACATAAGCATGTGTGATAGAAGGAACAGGTACTAACACATAAGCATGTGTGATAGAAGTAACAGGTACTAACACATAAGTATGTGTGATAGAAGTAACAGGTACTAACACATAAGCATGTGTGATAGAAGTAACAGGTACTAACATATAAGCATGTGTGATAGAACATACACACATGCATATGCGTGACCTAGTGCCCTCAGACGACCAAAGACTAAGCACAGCAGGAATGCTACGCTTTACTGCTTCTCCTGCATTCAATCCAATACACTTCACAGGCGCCTATGCTTCATACACAGCATACGCCCATTGGTGTATGGGATAGACACATCGGTGTATCATTGGTATACACAGCATACGCTCATTGGTGTATGGGATAGACACATTGGTGTATCATTGGTATACACAGCATACCCCCATTGGTGTATGGGATAGACACATTGGTGTATCATTGGTATACACAGCATACTCCCATTGGTGTATGGGATAGACACATTAGTGCACCATTGGATACACAGCATACGCCCATTTGGTGTATACGAGAAGACACCCATCCGTATATGAGAAGACACATGTGCGTATGAGCGCAGGTATAGGCACGCACACACCAAACAACCGCCGCCTGTACCATTAATGTGTATGGCGAGACTACTCCTATCTGTAGAAATTCTGTTCTAAACCCCCATGCACTCGACACTTAGGGTTTAGGGTTTAGGGGGGTAGCTTGTACGCAGAGTCCCGCGAATGAGTGCGACCGCAATCCCAACACGTACGTGCCACCAGAACAGGCAAATATACATCCACAAAGCCACACATGCACACAGTCACACATCCACAATCATGGCACCGTAGCGCGTATATATATATATATATATATATGCGTGTGTGCGTATATGTGTGTGTTTGTGTGTGTGTGTGTGCGTGTGTGTTTGCGTGTACATACCCCTTGTCCAGCATAGAGAAGAGTGCGTTGAGCACGCGCAGGTCTGTGAACTGCATGACATGTGGCATGGTGCTCGCCTCATGCAGACAGGCCAATACAAAGCCCTCTGGCGCAAAGTACGGGTGCAGCAGACCCGCACACTGGTCCTGGTATCGCAACAGCGTCTTAGGATCACCTGGTAGAGGTTTTTGGGGTTTAGGTGGAGAGGTGCAGGGACAAGAGATGAGATTATACGCAACTAATGAACGAGATACACGACAAGGCAACACATTTGTGGTACATGCTGTCGTAGCTGCTATTGGAAATGCGACATACACGCGGATTTACGACATGCACGCGGATTTACGACATGGCTACCCATGCCGGTGCCACATACCCTCAAACACATCCAATTCGTCGGCTGGCAGGGGTTGGCAGCGCAGGCGGTTGATGTAATGAGCGCACAGCATGTCGGCTGTGACGGTGTCGTTGCTGAACCACACCATGCCACACCGCGACACAGTGGCGGGTGTGGCTGAGTTGAGATTCTCCACCTGTGGTAGGGGGTGGGGTGCAATGGTATGGGGTTGGATAGAGTGGTTGATGAGCTATTGCTATATTACACAGTGGCGGGTGTGGCTGAGTTGAGATTCTCCGCCTGTGGTAGGGGGTGGGGTGCAATGGTATGGGGTTGGATAGAGTGGTTGATGAGCTATTGCTATATTACACAGTGGCGGGTGTGGCTGAGTTGAGATTCTCCACCAGTGGTAGGGAGTGGGGTGCAGTGGTATGGGGTTGGATAGAGTGGTTGATGTGCTGTTGGTATATTAGACTACGTAGGGATAGTCAGCATCTAGTGTTGAATAGAGTGGTTGATGAGCTATTTCTCATACATGCAAATGCTATTACTTTCGTGGCATTAGGGTTTCAAGTATAACCCTAGCTTGGGTTTTAAGCATCACCCTAACTTGAGAACAATTCATCCGTAGCAGGCCATTCCAACTACAGTGTGTGTGACAAACAGAACTTCTCTCCGCGCACTTTTAATACTTCAACAACAACAAATGAACAGCAACGAATATATAGCATCCGATAAGAGACGACCTAAACCCTAAACCCTAGAGCCCAAACCCTTAGAAAAATAGGTATCGGAGTGGCGACAAAGCAGCATAGGCTACGCGGGTGGAGTAGGCTGATGAATGGCTTTCATTGGACTACAATGGGCAGCACAAATATCCCTAAACCCTAAAAGCACATGCACTTGTGGAAAAATGGATACGAAGACAAAGCACACCCACAGCCAACCATACACCTCACCTCAACCATGATCTTAACATTCGGGGGAGGCAGCCACACACACCCTACTATTAAAACCCAAAACCCTAAACCCTAAAACTATACACCAACCATACACCTCACCTCGAACATGATCTTAACGTTCTGGGGCAGTGCCAGACGTTCACCGTTGGGCAGAGTGAGGATTTTGTTGTCGTCCAGCACACTGTTGAGGTTCTCCACCCACTCAGGGTCAACGTCGCCATCCAGCACAATCCAATGCCGTTGAGCCACCTCATTACGCACATTGTCTACGATCTGTGGGTGTGTGCATGTGAGTAGAGTGTGATAATATGGTGAATGGCGTGTGCGAGTTGTGTGTGTTTATAATGATCTGTGGGTGTGTGCACGTGAGTGGGGTGTGATGGTATGGTGAGTGGCGTGTGTGAGTTGTGTGAGTTGATAATGATCTGTGGGTGTATGCATGTGAGTGGGGTGTGGTGCTATGGTGAGTGTATTTCCCAGGTGTACCCGTGTACACTATCCATGGGAAGACATGCCATGCGCTGAGATTGCGTGTGGCGTGTCTGTGGACAGTGTGTGGTTGTTGTTGGTTGGGGTTGTGGTGATGAAAGCGCACCCCATCGTCACACAGAGCGTTGCAGATGTGTTTGTTCGCTTTGTGTGACAGATTCTCAGTCTGTGGTGATTGTGAGTATGTGTATGTTAGACATACATTGCAACTATTTGTGGTGATTGTAAGTATGTGTATGTAAGTACATACATTACAACTATCTGTGGTGATTGTAAGTATGTGTATGTAAGTACATATATTGTAACTATATGTACGCAGCCGTACATGTTATGTAGATGATTTGCAGGTGGATAATCAGCCAGCAGACACTCTGTATCCACAACTTATTGGACACACAGTCTATTCCCCGTGTGCGGAGGTACATGCCACGTATAATTACATCCACACATATATATACCTGCATTCACACACATTTACAACTACATTCACACACATATACATCTACATCTACACACATACGCACCTGCATTCACACACATCTACATCTACATTCACACACATATACATCTACATTCACACACATACACATCTACATTCACACACATATACATCTACATTCACACACATATACATCTACATTCACACACATACACATCTACATTCACACACATGCATATCTGGATTCCCAAAATAAAATCTACATCTACACACATATGCACCTGCATTCACACACATCTACATCAACATTCACACACATATACATCTACATTCACACACATATATACCTACATTCACACACATATTTACCTACATTCACACCCATATATACCTGCATGCACACACGTATACCTACCTTGCGCATGGTGCCCGTGAACAGCCCGTCCGTCCACTCGCGTGTGGTGGAGTCGAGTGAGCCGTACAGCGCCTCCTTAGAGATGGCCTTTGGATCGATGACATAACTCACACCCTCCTGTCCATCCACACGCTCTAACGCACGCAGCAAGATCTCCCACGCACACGACTTGCCGCTGCCAGAGCTACCTACCAACATCACGCCGTGGTGGATGGCTTGGATCTGGTACAGTTGCACAATCTTGTCGATGAACAGCGGGGTCGCTTCCAGGTGGCGTTCGGCGCACTCCTGGTTAATTTGCCGTTTTGAGGAGTTGCGAGTGATTGGTGATGAGACACATGAGACACTATGGGTCGGTTACGTTATGGACGAGATATAGTTCTCTTGATTAATTGGCCGTTGTGAGGAGTTGCGAGTGTTCGGTGATGAGACACATGCGACACTATGGGTCGGTTACGTTATGGACGAGAGATAGTTCTCCTGGTTAATTGGCCGTTGTGACGAGTTGCGAGTGGTTGGCGATGAGACACATGAGACACTATGGGTCGGTTAAGTTATGGACGAGAGATAGTTATCCTGGATAATTGGCCGTTGTGAGAAGTTGCGAGTGGTTGGCGATGAGACACATGAGACACTATGGGTCGGTTACGTTATGGACGAGAGATAGTTATCCTGGTTAATTTGCCGATGTGAGGAATCGCGAGTGATTGGCGTTGTGACACTACGCACACACACACTCCCACACACTCCCACACGTCGCATAGTACATCTGATGGTGTAGGGTTTAGGGTTTTCGACGTACCTCCCTAATGGCTGCGTGCAGCAACTCGAGCGGTGCAGGCAGATGGGCCACACCAGGGAACACATCCTGGAGTAGACTGAACAGCAGCGGAATGTCCTCAGCAACCAACTTGGGCACCATGGTCTCACATACGCTGTGTACAACGCAAGGGAGGATAGGTGAGGCAGTGGGGTAGGTCGACGCAAGGTATGTGGGTAGGTGTAGCGATTGTAGGTGTAAGATATATAAGTAGGTGTAGTCAGTGACCAGAGGTTATGGGAATGTGTGCATGCATTGGTTGTAACATAACAGTGATATAACAGTTGCATGCACAATGCTGATGTTGTCAGAGAAATCACACTGAAGCGATCACTTGCAAAGATACGGCGAGTAGACACCCCTACGCCCGCACACACATACATTCACACTTAAGCACGTAAGGCTAACTATAGGAACACTCATGTACAGATGTAGGTGTATATATACGTGTGCGCACCAGAGGTACATCGCACCTCAGGCAGGAACACATGCAACACAGTACAACGACCACGCGTACAAGCACACACACACACACATACATGCATGCACACAACACACAACACACACACATAAAAAATAAATATATATAAATATATATGCATATATATATATATATATATATAAACAACTCACGCACTGACCTCTGGATGATTACGGCCTGTTCATCGAGGTCGTTTGCTAGCTCTACCTCGTGGGTGTCTCTGTATATATATATA